AGGGGACAGAGCAGGGACAGGGGGACGAGGAATGACTGAGTGAAGGGGGTCAGTAATTCTCCACCACAGACAGTTATTATTATTGCAGCTTTAGCGCTGTGACAGGGAATCTGCGAATCTGGAGCAGAAAGGATATTTAAGGCTCTAGCAGGAGGGGTTTGGATGGAGTTTAGGGAAAAATACATCATCATCATTATTATAGTTTAATCCCGCAGGGCTGTAATCTGCAGCCTGGGCACCTGTCACCAGGCAGGCGGCGAAGCTGTCTAATCCATACCCCACAGCGAGGATGCCGTACACTGCTCTACACTGCACTGGGCTGGACAGGCTCTCAGCTGAAGCCTGAGCCTGCAGGGGGGGAAGGGGGTCTCAGGTGCCCCCTAGAACTACCCGCAGGTCAGAGTTCATGGGTAACAGTCAAGTATATAGGTGTGGGGGGCTCGTTAGCTCATCATAATAATAATAATTCCCTACACTTACAGCACTTTTCTGGACACTCCACTCCAAATACTTTACAGGTAATGTGTGACCCCCAGGCATGCAACGGCAGCCAAAGTACGCCAGTACTCTCCCCACACACCAGCTCTGAGGGGGGAGGAGAGCAGAGTGATGAAGCCAGTTCAGAGATGGGGATTATTAGGAGGCCATGACTGGGAAAGGCTAGGACACCAAGGTAACACTCCTACTTGGAAATTCCCTGGGATTTTTAATGGCCACAGAGGGTCAGGACCTCAGTTTTACATCTTATCCAAAGGATAGCACCCTTTGTTTACAGTCCTGTGCCCCCATCACTATACTGGGACATTAGGACCCACACAGCCTGCAGGGTGAGCCCCCCCTACTGGCCCCACTAACACCTCCTCCAGCAGCAGCCTTAGCTTTCCCAGGAGTCTCCCATCCAGGTACTGGCCAGACTTACACCTGCTGAGCTTCAGTGGGGCTGCAGAGGTATACCTGCAGAGGTACAATAGCTTGGTGTGAGTGTGTTTGTCTGTGTGTATCCTGCAAGGACTAGTGTCCTGTCCAGGGTGTACCCTGCCTTGGGCTCGTTGCATGCTGGGATAGGCTCCGGCTCCCCTGCAACCTCATACTGGATAATGAGGTTAGAAAATGGATGGAGTTTTTTTTAACCTCAGACCGCTGACTGGCAGACATGGCAATCTGCAGACTGTGTCCTCATTGCAAGGACCAGAGATCAGTTCTTAAAAGGCCAACTAACTAGTGGAGCATGGCTCTCTCCCAGCTGGTCATGATCGCTGCACTTGCAATTCAAGTTCAAGTTTATTTGTCATTCCAGCCATATACAAGTATACAGTGGAACAAAATATCGTTCCTCCTGGTCCACAGTGCAATTACAGGCAAGACACTGACATAGCCAAAGTAGACAGGACTAATAATACCAATATTAATAAATAAGATTGTGCAAACTAAGACAGTGTAAGCCGGAACAGGGGCAGTGTACACAGGATATGTACATAGTGCAATCTAACTGTTACAGAATAGTGCAAAAGATACATCACACAATATACACTTAACACTGGGGGGGTTTAACCTTGTTTCTGGAACTGGAGTGGGTACAAGTAGGAACCAGGGTGTTGATAAGCCTGACAGCCTGAGGGAAAAAGCTGTTACAGAGTCTGGTGGAGCAGGCCCGTACACTGCGATATCTTTTTCCAGATGGTAGTAGGGCAAAGAATTTATGGGAGGGCTCATCTACTATACTGTTCCTCCAAATCCCCCATTTGGGAGGGGGTATTTAAAAAGTGACATGGAGACAATCAGAGCAGAATGACCTACTGGGAAAATGGAGATGCTACACCAGAAAATGAGAGATGCAGACGCTGGGCTCCTAGGACTGTCACCTATCGGGGTAGCGTTGGTCAGGAAACAGATGCTAGATCTCCTACACTGGCAGGCAGAAGGAACTGAATCCTTATAGTCGTGAAGAAAGACTATTAGGAGAGGGTCTGACCCAAGCTCCGAAACTCCTCAAAGGCACTGACAAAGTCATCCCAGCGGACTTCTTCAGAGCGAAGAGTGAAACTCGAACCAAGGGGCACCAGTGGAAACGTGGTGGAAGATCTAAGACCTCTTGATCTTAGTTCTCTCCATGGTGAATTGCTTGACTGCAATATGCGAGACATGTCTGCACATTTTAAAATTCTCCAAAGCTGGAACACAGAACACACTTTGCAAACAAAGACATGCATATCAACACTCTGGAGCGCAGATATGAACATTTTATCTTTTCCTCTGGGTTGGAAATTGACAAATGATCAGCAGAGAATTGGCTCTAAACTTAAGAGTAGTTCCCCCTCTATCTGCTATCATACAGCACAGTTAACGTCTACTCTCTGCATCACATCTAGCTTTACAGACTGCAAAACCTACTGTACTAGATAGATGGATATCACCCTGCAGCAGAACAAGAACAACAACAAACAGAAAAGGCAAATGAAATCCTAGAGGCTGTGCCTTTCACTTGGGAGAGAATTTGCAGAAACCGTCTCCAATCACCCCTCCATATGTTAGCAGGGCGCTGAGAGGGGAGAGATGTCATGTTCGCTGTGTGTTGTGTGGAGACCAGCCTGCCTCCGGACACGCTGACAACACACATCACTGAGGCCCTGCGCTGACACGACTGGACTGGGAGAGGGAGGGGCAGAGAGAGAGGGGGGAGAAAAGTGACGGAGTGAGGGGGGGAAGGACACACAAAGTGAGAGCACGCTTCAGAGAGGCAGAGGAAGAAGACCAGGAGACGGGACGAGGCAGGAGACAGCGAAATGGTTAAACACAGGAAGGAGGCAGAGCAAAGAGATGGCAGAGAGAGTCAGTCACAAAGGCGGAGAGGAGGAAAACAAAAAAGAGCGGGCCAAACCGATAATAAACCGAAATCCGCAACAGCTTTCGTCCACAGCTTCCCAACCCCGAAAGACAGCGGCTTCTAGATCCAGCAGGAGAGCGTCTTAATCTCACGGTGCAGTCCATAATTAACATGATTAACATTTTAATTTTATACGACTCTCCGGAAGAGCCAGGGAGAGCCAGGGAAGAAGCCACACACACACACTTGCAGAGAAAGTGACTGTGTGTGTGTAGCCTTTTGAGCAATG